CTGTTTTTTTGTATTTTTCTTTATAAAGAGGTGTCAAAGACGTGTTTTTTAAAAGTTGAAGTACACAGGTGTACCTCTGCATATTTGTACAGATGTCAATAGGAGAATAGGGGGAAATGACAAGAGAGGGATGATGGATGCTAAAGAATGAGCAGTTCAAGCAGACAGGGAAAAGATGGCGCAGCCAAACTCTGAAAGTGCAATCTGCTGAGCATATATTTAACCTGGAAGGCTTCTGGTTAACTTGTAACTGCTGAGATGTGCACTGCAACTTCTCTACCACTGCTCTGTCAGTACAATTAAACATAATCAATTCTAAACATGCTGCAGCTGCCAGAATCTCAACTCTCAATCATGTTGACTTTTCTCACAAGTGAGATTCAAAGTCTTTTTTTGAATCTGCAAGTTAGTTACTGTAAAGTTGTAAAGTATATTTTACTGTAAATAGCATCTGGGGGTCATTTTTACTCCTTTTGTAACAGAAACTGTGGATTTAAAAAGATTTAAAAATATATTTTAAAAGATATTTACAGCGCTAATAAAAGATTCCACAGTAATGCAGGTGTCTTCATCTGTATTACCTCATAACAATCCTGTACTGACTCATGGCTGCCACTTTCAGGGGCGACGGAGCACGCCATCTTAGCCTTGGTGTCTCTGTCCTGCAGTGATGGGTTCAGACACAGCCTTCCTTGTCCCGCCTGTCTGCTTGAACTCTCAGGTCACCAGAGAGAGCCTCCAACACTGCAGCAGCTTGTGGCACACACCAGCCATGGCCATGAATGTCAGTGGCCCTGGACTGAGCTATTTAGCTACAGCAAGCTGCTGCAAAATGTGCGGGGCTCTCTCTGCCCTGGAGCCCTGTCATGGCTGTTGTCTGTTGCCAGGAGACCGACCCGCACAAAGCACAGCAGGGGATTGATATGCAGCCACACTGTGGGGAGGCAGGCAGGTCAACCAGTCGGCCATGATAGAGGAGTGGAAGAAGGGATTGATAGATAGATGGATGACGTGGATTTGGGGGGGGGAGGGAATTAAATTGTAACTGAGGGAACTTTGGAAACCTGGAGTTTGGAGTGGGGTGCTCTGGCTACGGTGAGGAATTTGAGAGTGGAGGCCCTGAGGCATGTAAAGTAGAGCAGGGAAAAAACAGTGCCAGGGGCCCACTGGGTAAGAGAGGCTCCAGGAGGAGGAAGAGAGGAAAAGCAGGGTTAAAATTAAAGACAGAAGAAGATTCTCATGTACAGTAGTAAGGTCAAGCGTGGTGTGGTGATTTAGCAGATTTAGTGATTCCCAGGGAGACAGTGCTGAAGATGAAGAGGCGTGCCTGTTGGTTCAACCGGTCTGCCCGACCTCAGTGAGACTGCAGTGACAACCTGGTTTTTATTGGGGTCTATTAGCTTTCAGTTCCCTTTCTGCCATTCCTTTGGAAGACCGCTGTATTACCGCACCGGGATTACTCTTATTATTGTGATTATTAACCCTTTCTTTTATACTGACAACACTTGGAACACTGTATAGATGTAAAGATGGGATTTCCTGCATTATGATTGAACCATGGATGTACATATATTGTATCAATTAAAATGATGATGCATTAAGCTTTTATATGTCGCAAAAGTGATCTGATTTTTTTTTTTTTTTTTTGCCAAGAGAGCAGAGCAGAGCAGAGAGGGGAAACGATGCACACTGAGAATCATTTGAGATAACAATCAGATTTCATACAAGTGTCAGCAATCACGGCCGCGAGGATATGTGCTGCAGTGTCTACTTACACATCTCACAGTCGCCATGGCAGCGAGGGGAAGCTCATGCTGTTGCCCTTGACAACTGGAGTCTTCAGAGAGACACTCGGCTCCTGTTAAGAGCACAGGTCATTGAAGCGAAGGCATCACTCAAGTTAAATGAGCATAATCATACCCTCATTCATACCTTTGAAGTGATACTAATGTTCAAGAAATAGAATAAAGGTCAACATACAGTAATTCTCCATCAGGTATGTCACAATTATCCTCCCCAAAATAAGTCTTATTCACAATATAATCCTGATATTCATCAAAATATGCTTAAAACTCTTCAAATGGCACTAAAACATACTGGAATCACTACACCTTACATTTAGTTAATAAAAAACAAGTAGGATTCAAATTTGGTAGAAATCTTAACAGCCAGGATTTTCAACCATTTGAAATGGGGCCAATCACCTACTTCATATTGCCAGGAAGTCTCATGATTGAGATCAAAATCTCTTTCACAAGTGAGACCTACCCAAAGTAGCAGCCGTGCAAAATTACAACATATTAAAGTACAACATATCCAACATGATATACAGAAATTCACAATGAAACAGAAGAACACCTATTTAACATAATGGCTTCTTAAGGCTACATGCCTCGATCACCTTATTCTTTATGATGCCCTTAAATTCAACAATGGATTTTAAAGTTTCTAACTTTACATCTTTTGCATTGTAGGAAAATGCAGTTTTCCCTGGATCTGTCAAAACCTGTTGTACATTAAAAGCAACCAACCAACTTAACAGCTCAACAGACCATTTTAGAGCAATTCCAAACAAAATCTTAGATCAGGAGTTCTCAGAGTCTTGATTACTTATATTCGATTCGATATGAAATATGCCGATGCTTGATTAAGATCTTTTGCGGTCTTTGAAGTTGGTGTGTATGCTGTCTGTTTTTGCAGTCTCTTTTATTGTTGGCTGCCCAGCAGTCTCTTTTAACTGCTGAACACAATATTATAAATTATAAATGATTTGTGTAAGGACCATAGACTGTAAAATAACAGAAGTAGCTACTGTGATGTCACCAATTGGTTTGTGGTCTCCCGTTTTGAAGCATGGAGTCCAGCAATTCAGTCGTCACCATCTTGTTTTACTTGAAGCAAGAAGTGACCATATTTGGACGAGAGGCTGGAGCTGTGGGGGAGTGAGGGGTAGATCTCACTGAGAATCCGAGGACACTATTGGCTGACAGCCTGTCACTCAAAGTTCTGTAGGAACTGACTTGCTTCTGGAGCCAGCCTCAAGTAGCTATTCAAAGAACTGCAGTTTTTGGCACTTCTGTGCTGGCTTCAGCTTCGAAGGTTGCTGCTTGGTAAGGACATTCAAGCTAAAATACACTTATATGCTGATGACACTGTCATCTATACACATGCCTCTCCACAGTTCAGGTGGTACAAGAGCTTCAGACAGAATATCAATCATTGGAAACTGCTCTGCTGAGTTTCAAATTAGTTTGATAGCTCAGAAAACAACATTTATGGTATTCTCAAAAGCTCGCTCACAGTAGCTTGATGATTTTAGCATAGTCATGTCTGATGGTAAATTATTGAAAGGATGCCCTCGTACAAGTACTGTGTATTTTGTATAACTGAATTTCCCCTCAGGAATTAATGAAGTGTATCTTCTTCTATTTTTTATCAGAACCTGCCATAAAATAGTATTGTCCAGTCCTTATTCTCCATCATGCATTTTTTTAAATTTTAGTAATGAGGAATATTAATAGGCAGTTTGTAATAACTAGTCTATCCCTTATATGATGTACTACCACTAAGCAGAACACAAATAGAGGAGTTTAGAAAGTCTTTAAAAACATCTTTATTAGTTTTGGTTTTACCTCCATACCTACTTCGAACACCCCTACTCCATAAGTGCAGAGTGCCCTCTAGAATTTGCACATTGCACATTTTCACAGTCTCACGTTCCCCTCTCAAAGGGGGGAAGGCCGTGCACCCTTAAACCACAGAACAATGAGAGAATAGAGGGGCAGATTTCCATAACACTGTCCATTGCTCTGGCATTGAACTGCTCATACTGACCTGGTGAGAAAAGCTTCCCTCACATCAGCACATGGAGAACACATTCCTGTCAGTCAGTGGGTTCAACTAGAGAAGTGGAGGGCTGGTCCTCTGAAAAAGAAGTGAAACTAGAGGAATGTAAATGCATGACAAGACAAAGTGTTGGCAGATCTGCTGGGTATCCCACATGCCACCTTTGTACCCACCGAAAAAGTGACAACTGCAATAATTAGCAGCCAAAATGAGGTGACATTTTAAATAGGTAATAGGGGTTAGGCTTTGTTGAAATGTCACAAAGTGTATGGTTCTACCTAGACCCATTTTGTAGGCTTTAAGGGTCTTAATTGGAGGACAGTACAAAAGGGGGCCAAAAGAGTCTCGCTGTGGCTGCCAGAGACAAGGAAACTCGGTCAGTGTGCCTGGAAGCTGGTGACTGTATGTGAGTGTATTCATGGTGGCTGTGTGGATAAAAAAAAAAAAGTGGGCGTGTGTGTTTCTCAAGTGTGTGTGTATATGCTTGTGTACGAGCATTCAAGGAATGTGTGTGTGACAGAGGCACGAACAAGACAAAGGGGAGAGTGGGCTAGAGCCAAGTGAGCGGATAAAAGATGAGCTGGAGAGAAGCGAGGCGCTGGATGCACACGGCTGAGCAAAATTAGATCATCTGCTTTGAATCAGCTGAATGCAACCAGCAGAGATGAAGCTCATTAGAGAAAGCGCCCTTGAAAATATCACATCATTAAAATGCTAAAATATCTGCTAAAGACAATGGACTTTTTCTAAACTTTCAATTGCTCTTTTCCATCTGAAATTTCCCTCTTAAATCAACACTGACAATTAAGGGTGACAGGAATAATATCAGGAAACAATGACTTAAACTCATTTGTAACGTTTGTTGAAATTCAACCTTATTATGCTGCTTCTATTTTTCTACACTTCAGTTAATAAAAGCATTGGCTTTACACTGTCCTAAAATGTAACACGCAAATTAGTTTGAAGAATTAATTAGGGATTGGTGTGTAGTCTACATAGAAAAATCCTGCACGTGGAGATGAAACTGGCTGAGAAAGGTCATTGGGTTTATGAGGAGGGAACCTTTCGGAGACGCTTCTCAGCAAGATTTATTCAACATGAACAAAGCCTAAAAACAATAGATACAAGGAGGTTTTCTATTGAACACAGCATACCATATTGCAAGTGTAGCTCAACCGTTACGCCTTTTTAAAAACCATATCAACAACAAATTTTATGAACCAATAAATACCAAGCACTCTCTCAAAGATTCACCTTGGCAACAAGGCAGAGAAAACAGCGTTGGTCTTAACAAGAGAGTGTGAAAACGGAGGAGGAGAGGAGGAGGACAAGAAATCTTTTTTTTTTTTTGCAGGATGGAGGAGAGCGATCCAGTCTGTGGCTCCTGCCGTTGCCCCCGGATACGGATGGAGTGAAAGCAAGAGCTGGGAGCTGGAAGGAGCTGCAGCTGCCTGGTTTCCATGGCAATGTGGATGCAGGACAAGCGAAGAGAGAGGGAGGGACAGACTGAGCGAAAGAGAAAGACGATGAGAGAGAGAGACTCGGAGGCAGAAATATGAGAACATACCAAGAGGGAGTGCGAGGGAGCAGAGCAAGAGAAGTGTATTAAATACAGCAGCGTGGCAGTGGAAGAGGCAAAAGGGCGGGGAGATGGAGAGAGCAAAAATAACGGAGGGAGGAGGAAGCACTCAGAGAGAAGGAGACACTGGAGGGATGTTAAGCTCAGACATGGATCCCCAAGACTTGCCACTGGAGACTGCCACCTTCAGGGGGACCTGGAAAACACACACACACACACACACAAAAAGGGAAGGGTGTCAGTGTGTCAGCATACATATGTAGATGTCCTTCTCAGCGGCCTACTCCGATCACCTAACTGCTGCCTGACAGAAAAACAGCCACAAAGCTGATGAAAAATCATTACAAAATACTTATGTTAAATAAATCTGTTGCCCTGTGGCTTGTTGTCCACATTTTATTAGTCAGTAATCCACTGAGTAAATATTTGTATTATCGAAAAAGCAGTTACCTTCTCCATGAAGCTTCTGGAAATTAAATTTGGAGAAATTTGGATGAAATCACACACACATACACCCACACACGTACACACACACACGATCACGCATACAAGCATAGATGCATAGGAAATGAAACATGCTTCTTTTGCTTAGGCTTGTTAATTTATTATGAATATTTATTGTGTTGTGTTCTATAATTACACACTAAAAAGCTGAAAAGATGGATCACTATGTAATAGCGCCTAAGAATGATTTCTGAGTGTTAAAATTGTGGGTTGATGGGTGAAATATCTCCATAATATCTTCCACTGTACTTAAGAAGAAAGTGTTTCAACCACAGCATTTGCAAGTAAAGCTAACACTATAAATAAACCATGAGCCCATTTATTGGACCATGTTCCCTTGTGATGCAGTATGGTAGTTATTATGTACATCTACATTTGCCTGGAGCCCGTGGCAACAAAAAAAGTCTTTGCATGCAGTCTGAACAAAGACTGAACACATCAGCTGACACTGTTATCCCACTGAATGATTTTAAGTTCAGGCTCCATTTAGGCCCCGACCCATGCTGCTTCTTTGCACCCTAAAACCCACTGTCTTCATGGAATATCAGTCTATGATATACACACTTAAAAAACAGCACCTGGAAGAAGATCAGCTCTGAACACGGGATTTATGGTAAGTAGGCTATGATACGGTGCTTGTTATGGTTGCCTGACCTTGCATTTTTCAGGCAGTTAAAGACGCGGCATGTGTCCCAGCCTAGCTTACCTTAAGATGGACTCCCAGATGGTCTATGTGCTGAAGGGACTCCATGGTGCTCCTCACCAGTGCTGCACCAGAGTACATGCACAAGGATGTAGATGCAGGTATTAATGGTAATAATAGTGACCATAGTCATTGCATTGTAGGTAATGAAGGCCAAGGGTTTGACATGGTACAGTTCATTAGTGTCAAGTGAAATAGCTGACAACTGATATTGAAGGTTGAAAATTCACCTGCAAACTGTTCCACCTGGGAGTCCTCCACTTCATACAGCAGCTCATCGTGGAGCTGTGCCACCAGCCTACAGTTACAGACACATTCATTCTTTATAGACGTAAGGCTTCAACTAAGTTCTATCGTATTCTCCATCCTGCTCACCCAACATACCCTGATATATTTAATTCAGGTATATTTTGGCTCTTGGCTTCAAGTGTGTTTACTCTAGCAGAGTGTTTGGCGTGTACCAGCAGCAGTCATTTGGGAAAACTCCTCAACTCTACAAATTTATCTGGCTGGTAAAGTGGTGAATGTTGTTTAAGTGTTTTGGCGTGACAGACTCAGTCAGTTCCTCTTCATAAATATAAAACTTGTTAATGCTTTGCTTGTACAGATTCAGAAGGAACTACAGTGTGAAGAGCTGGTGGGTACTTTGCCACTGTAGTGAAGGAGACAGTGTTTGATATTACATAGAAGCAGTAGCTCATAATATGAGCATCTTGAGTCAATAGGGCCATGTCTAGTGGTTGTACCTGGCAGAAAGTGAGCTGGAGGAGGAGACCAGGTTAAAGATTCTGATCATGGCCATCTTACAGAGATCAGCAGCAGAACCTGCACACACACACACATAAACACAATCAGCAGGATGAATGGATGGTCGTTAAAAAACTAAACTACGGAAGCTGATTTATTATTAAATTAGGTGTACAGTAAAATACTGAACTGAGTTACAATGATTGACTTTATTCACAAACTGCTAATTTCTCACAACTGCCACCTCTCTGATTATCAGAGGAAAAACAATAAAGATGCACACCAGCAAACGAGCTATCGGTCAACTTACCTTGGACCACAAAGTTGACAGCTTGCCTCTCAGCCTGCATGCGGATGCCCCAATCATTGGAGTTGATGTTAGGGAGGGTCCGTCGACGACCCATGATGGAGAGCACATAACCTGAACAAAAAAAAAAACAAAACAAAAAAAAAAAAGAAGCAAAAATGCAAGATGTTTAAATTCCATAATCAATAGTCATCATTCTGAGCACAGTTCATGCGTGGTAGTCATGCCTTCAATCAAGCAAATCTGTCCTTGAAGGCTGAATCTCTCACACAGCCAAGCTTAAAATAGTATTTATACCCATTCAGTCCAGCAGCTACGCTACTCCTTCAAGATTCACTGTGTATATATATATGGATAACAATAAAATCTCTCTTGTCTTGTATTAAATGTGAAACACAGAGTTATACTGAGATTATATTTAGGAACTGTGTAAATGTTGCATTTTAGTGAAATCAGTTAACGTCATACATAGAGAGTTCTTTTTCTTTAGAATCATACAGAGGCCAACTATTATAAAATATCAGGACATGTGTCACAAGACATATAACAGGTTTATCATTTTTTTCAGACATTTTTTATTTACTTGCAGCTTTGTATCATAATAATGTGGGTAGTATGTGTAAATGAACTGTGGTAAACTTCTTTCCATCTCACCAGCTTCAACGTTTCAAGTCATCCAGCGGATTTTCGCTGGTTCTAGGGCTGTTGCTCAAACTATACATTGTACTTCCACATTTTTGTATGCCCTCCACCATGATCACAGAGTATAGATGTGGATCAAAAGAAAGACCCACCCCTCTTTTCCTTTTCAGAGCAGGGCTGATCAAATATAAACCAAGATTATGTTACTGTATTGCCTATTTATTGCCTACAATGTCCTCAGAAACATCTTTTAGTGCACTGTTTGGCTGTGATAAGTGAATTTGTGAACAGGAGGTGGGGGCCATACTGTTTCCTGTATTGTGAAAGTGAACACTGAAAATGAGATCAAACAGTAAAACTAAGCAGTGCTCATTAAATATGTACCAAGATGTTGTAACTGTGTTGCCTATTTCTTGCCTTAAATGTTTTTAGAAACATTTTTTAGCTACTGTTTAGGTGTATTTTGAGATCGTTTGTCACCAGTCGGACGCCATATTGTTTCCTGCTTCAAAATAGACAAGCTCACACAATAGCTGTGTTCGAAATCGCTCCCTATCACGGATATAGTGCACTATATAGTGTGTTCGCCATTTTGTAGTGTTGTTCGAATTCTCCGCGGTTAATTTCATTCACTATATAGTGGACTATAAAATACCCACAATGCACAGCAAATGTGAGTGAACAAACAAAGTACCCTACATTTTACTCCAGTATACCACAATGCAATGCGGTCGTCTTTTGCCAGAGGAGAAGAAGAACAACAACAACTTTAACTGTGCCAATAGTTTGCTTATATCAGCTGGCATGTTAGCTTAGATTTTTTTAGGCTAATTACCAGTTGACATCGGCAAATCAACCAAAGGCGCCTTAAACGCCTAAGACACGTTTGCCTTCGCCTCCATCTTTGCCTGAGGAGCAGGACTTGGGTCAGCAGCATCCAAACAATCACTGGAATCATTATTTTAATACACAAAAAGAAAAGAAACGAATAGGATGCTAGCCGGTTACGAGCTAACAATAGCCACTTAGCTCGCACAAGCCAGGTAGCTCGTAGCCTGTGCACTATTGTGGGCTATTACAGCTCACAATGCAGACACACAACCGTAGCTGACAAAACCAAACGTCCACACCGTTGACATTTCAACAATTTATTGACAAAAAGTACAACCACCATACAGTTCGATCATCCTCAAAGCGCCTGGTTTGTTTACATGATGCTCGGCGCGTCCACTTGCGTCACAGGAGTATGCGGCGCAGCTACTGATGCAACGACGCTCAGAAAATTTCAGTTAGTGTCCAAAATCTCGTTCAGTCGTTCCCCATGTAGTGCACTATATAGTAAACATGAAATAGGGAATAGTGAGTGAGTAAGTGAGTGGACGGTTTCGAACACAGCTTATGTCATCCACCAGTGGGAGCGTTTATTGGTAGGGTAGGTATAGGTTTCCTACCTTTATGGAAAACCGAATGCCACAGCTGTTTCTCTGTTTTCTCTGATCATGTAACACTAATTTTAAAATTATTTTCGTCTTTCTGCTGCATAGACAAAGACATCTTTCAGTGAAATACTTCTTTAAATCACACAAATAGAGCACGGTCATCCACAACAAAGACACCACAGACTGTATGGGTTGTAACATTAGCTGCTGCTGCAGAAGTGTGAGCCCCACGCTGGAGACAGCTGGTTAGAATCCAACCCAACACACACAGTGACAGTGCTAACTGTTAGCATCACACGGCTAACGTCACTGAACAGTCATTAACGTGCTAACAACAAGTTGAGCTTCTTCAGCGTTGATGTGAGTTTGTTGGGACCATTTAACGGCTGGGTGTTGGATGTTAGCCGCTGCTGCTGTGGTAGCTCGTGCTAATCAGGCAGACATTGAACTGACTGCTAGATGGGGGGAGAGTGGCTCTGAAGACTGCAGCAACAGAAAGTTTGCTGAGTTGGGATAGTCCAAGATCCTGGCATAAAGAGGATCAAATGCAGGTATAGTTTGACAGGAGAAGTTTTGATACTAGTTGATACTGGGGGGTTTTGGGCAATAGCTTTCAGGTATGGAGTATGGATACTCAGCCCTTAAGAACAGTAGCAAAACTGTCTGAAGACTGAATTGAGTTTTGGCGTACAACTGTGTGTGCAGCAACAGTCTCTGGATGGAGACACTCACTCCTTTCAGTTAAGTGACTCATCCACAACATGCTGAGCAGAACTAAAGCCACAGAGTGCGATTTGAAGAGAACAGTTTCATGAAAAGTCATTTGTTGATACAGCATTATAGGTGATCATGGTAACAGCAGGTTTACAATGAATGAAGCACATGCCCACCCACCCTCACACACACAAGGGTGCAACACGCACACACGCACGTACACACAAAACTTGGTATCCACATGATTCACGTACAAAGGCAAAGAAAAAAAAGCACCCTCACATTCCCAGTACAGTGACACACTGGAGGGCAACACAAGAATGTGTGGTGACGTGATACGCACATTATACACAAACACACACATTTTCAAATGCAGGTATGCAACACACACACTCACACACAGTGGACCAGTACATTCCACCAGCTGGACAATGGAGAGGGCTTTACAGCTAAATCCCTCTAGTATCCCTTATTATGGGGAAAGCCAACCAGGGCATGAAACCTGAATGACCCTCTTCCCTGAACACACACACCCACATGTGCACACACACACACACACACACACACACACACACACACACACACAATCACACATACAAGCATAAATGCATAGGAAATGAGCACACACTGGACAGTAATAAACACAAAAACCGTGTGCTCACTGCAAACAGACCCATGACACATGCGTGTGACCTTTTCACCAGGAATGTGACCTTTGTTCTGGGGCCCGATGATGGAGAAGTGAGGTCTATGCGGTGTCACACAAACGTTGATTCCAACTATGGACAGGTATGTGAATCACACAATCGGCAGCTTTTTAAGTCAGTGACACAGAGGTGTGAGGGCCAGTGTTTTTCCAGCTCAGACTGTTTGTATGGACACAGTGGTAGCTCACATGATGGGCAGCGGCACTAGAAACTAGGACGGGTAAACAGTTACATAGCATCATATATCAACTTTTGGTGGCTTTGAACTTATGAAGAAATGAGGAAAAATAATCACAAAATGAGTTTTGAAAGGCCCTGACAACCTATTTTTATAATCAGCCCTTTAGTATTTTATGTTATGTAAAAGTTAATCACGTCCTTCCATACACCAATCATGATTTAGTGATATTTAAATATTTAAATTACATCCAAATAGTCCTGATTAAGCAGATTAGTTTTGAAGTGTTAAACTTGTCATTACACCTTATAATGTTTTGTTTCTTCAAACTTTTAATTTAGATTTTGCCGTAATGACTTCTTTGCCTCCTGAGGCCAAATAGCAATTAGTGTAATTAAATCTAAACACAACGACATATCATCCCTGTTAAACTAATATGGCAAACTTGTCCAACTGTTACGAAGCAACGTTATCATACATTTGGAGTCTGTGTTTTTAGTGAACTGGTGAATGTAAGTCCTTCAAGTCTTTTTAGGCTCTGTTTTGGGTCACTACCAACTTCTCTTTAGCTGCTAGGCCGCCGAACATTACGCTAAGACAGTGAACTAAATCAGTAAAGTTACAGCTGGACAACTTAATGAAACCAAGGGGCTTTACGGGCTTTGAGTTGAGTCTGATGTTCACTACACTGAACATCATTTTGGTTATTAGAAAATAAATGTTGAGTATATCTCAGCACCCATTATGAAAAATTAGTACTAATCATTGGCAATTACAAGTGTCCTTAATTAAAAATGTTGTCAAAATGTTGGTAAAGTGACATTTCAGAAAACAGGAGTTGACTTTTCTCATCTTGGGTGTGTGTGTAGTGTTTGGACTGAAGTTGTCCACATAGCACTGTGCTACCGCCATTTGTGCGGCTCATTATCCACAACAGAGCATAAGAGGACGAAGCAGCAGCTACACTGCAAATCCCTTTTTTATTAATGACGAGCCTTTGCCAGCTCCACTGTGTGCAAGTTGAAGTATCTGCATGCGTATGTGCATGGACAGTTTGACAGAGCGTCAGAGCCAGGATGTGTGCGAGGTGTTTGCATGTCTATGCAGATCTAGGCTACCCTGTGTCTGCTGTGGCCTTCAGAAGACTTTCATCTCTGTGATTCCCCCAGTTGTTATAAAAAGAAAAAAATATCCTGGTTGTCTTTTTATCTCAGGCAGTCTTTACAAGTGAAGGAACGGCATTCATCCCAAGAGCATTGATGAAATGCGCGCGATATGAAGAACAACAGGACTGGCTTACCCAGTGTGGTGGCTTTATCTCTTATTAATATCAAGGACAGCGAGTGTGGACCATTCAGAGAAGTGTGGTCACAGCAGCTCTGGCTATGAAGTAATCTATTGTAGTTTATATAATAAAGCTATCACAATATTCCTGGTTTTTGTCCTCAATGTTGTCCCATTCCTTCTGTGTTGTTACATTTCTTCCTCCATTACATCCACAGCCTTTTCCTCTTTTCTTCCTTCTCTGTCATTACACCCACACTGTGATACTAACCTCACCTTCATGTTGCCCTTTTCCAATACAATTCCAACAAATTTGACAGCAGCTGAGCCCGCACCATTCACCTCATCTCTGCTCAGCCTGCCAGCATCCAGCAAGTTCTGAACAAAATATCGCTGTATCAGATACCAATCAACTATGAACTCAGAGCAGTGCAGAGTGGACGTGGAGCCCAGGCACACATTAATCTCTGCTCCTGGAGTCAGAGTACAGCTAAAACAGCCAGGAAATTTAGTGTGAGACTGTATGTCTACCTCCCAGTCAGCACAGGTTACAGAGGGCTATGTCATCGATCAGCTGCTGTAAATTCCTGCTGTGGAATGAGGGGAGAGACAAAAGGAAAAGAGACATGAAGACAAAGATATCAAAGTAAGACAGACAGGAAAATGGAAAGACAGAGAGGAGAGAGGGAAAAGGAACAAAGAGAAAGAGTGAGACAGACAGGCAGACTGAAGGACAGCAAGACAAAGAGAGAGTGGGACGAGCGGGGCAGATAAATCCTGGCGCCGTCTCCGATGGGAGGATCACCATGGTGATGAGCTGAATTAAAGCCGACTGTGGTGCGCAACATCACTTCCACTGTGATCTGTGCGCGGCATTTTGGAAGAATGAGTCCATTACGTCGCTTCAATTAGGAAGCTGACACCAGAGAATGGGAGGCGATGAGTGGGGAGCGGGGTGTGTCACCGGTGATAGGTTGCTGTGGGTGATGGAGCACCTGTCTGTGCGTGATGGCGGGTCCTTGTTTGTGAGCAAGGTGTACGCCATCCTGGCTGACATAAAAAACATCTACTGCCCTGACCTAATTCTAGATGTTTACTACAAAACAAGGTTATTTTTCAACTCTTGTTATACAACATTAAATAACTAAAGACCTAGTTTTCCATGCAGGGACAGCCTGAGAGAAAAGAATTTGTGGCACAGATTTCAGAGACTGCACAGAGACTAATTTAATTGTGGTGTAATTGGTTTATACTATAACTGTTCACTTCGGTAGTTTTCAACCTGGATGTTATTTTCCCATGGTTTTGTGTCTAAGTGACTAATGGGAACAACAATTTCTTAAACTGGTCCATTATTGAGCGAGAGCACTGCAGCTGGCAACCGCAAAAATTGGCTGTGATGAAACCAGTTGTAGCATGTTTGTGCTGTCATGTAGGTCCAATAAAAATGCTTGTAAATGCCACTGACAGGCTCAGATTGTCATTTTTAGTGTCTGACAACATAATGGAAAGGATCCCTACAGTAATAGGCTTTTTTGTTAAAGGTTAAAATCACTTATGTTGAACCAGCAACAGCCCAGAAATCACCAACACCAATTCCACCAGTCTCTATTTAAATAAACAGTAATTTTGGCATGTATGGAGCTAACACATTTTAACATCTAACTGGGTGAATTAAGGGTTTATTTATCAGAGTTGGTGATTGTTGGAACTGTGAAAAGACGAACTAAGATGGTTTCTGTGAGTTGTATTTTGTCTCTGTCGACTTTAAATGAGGTGTGTTTTACGATGATAAAATTACTGTTTATTTAAATGGAATCTGGTGGGTTTGCTGATGGCGATTTTGGGGCTGTTTTTGGTGAAACAAAAGAGGATCTTACTGTTTAAAGGTCCAGTGTGTAGATTTGGTGGCATCTCGCAGTGAGGTTGCAGAACTGAAACGTCTCCCTTATGCCAAGCATGTAAAAGAACTACGGTGGCCCACGTGATACAGCGAAAAGCAAATGACCCTATCTAGATCCAGTGTTTGATATGTCTGTTCTGGGCTACTGTAGAAATGTGGCAGACTCCATGGAAGAGGATCTGCTCCATATGCAGTTATAAACTGCTCATTCTAAGGTAAGAACACAAGAACACATGTCTGTTCTGGGCTACTGTAGAAATGTGGCAGACTCCATGGAAGAGGATCTGCTCCATATGCAGTTATAAACTGCTCATTCTAAGGTAAGAACACAACGATTCTTATTTTTATGTAATTTTGCCCCTAAATCCTCGACACTGGACCTTTAACGAAAAGGTCTACCTCTCTAAGGATCCTTTCCATAAGTTGTCAGATACAGAATAACAATCTGTGTCTGCCAGAGGCAAAAACAAGTACTTTTAGTGGACATATATTAAAGGCCCAGACACGCAAAACCAACACAGAATGGGCAACAACAAAAGCTGGCTGTTGGGTTGCCTGACATTGCCTGGGTCTCAGTCAAAAAGTTGCACATGCACTCACCGCAAGGACTATAGCTGATGGCCAACCAGCACAAATGCTCTGCACTTGCCTGACAGGAAATAACTCTCCACACCAGCAGACAGAGGTTGTCTGTATTTGTTACTCAAAAAGGGAAACCAGAAGACCATCTTGATGCTAATAAGCCAGATAGCACATTAACAACACAATCCAATGCTGAAAGAACAAAGAATATTTACCGTGCACCAGTGAACAATAACGCAAACCATCATGAAAGGATTCTGCGTAAGAAAAATAATCTTATGTGATGTAACAAGTTGGTTCTGGTCTCACTCCCTCTTGAGTTTAGCTGTTTTGGTTACTTTCCTCATTTCTGTTTCTCCTTTTGTGCGCTAAGCTTAAATGCTAATCAGACTGATTTGTCAGCCTGTCAGTGAATCAGACTGATGCAAAAAAAGCTGAAAAGGGCAGAAGAAAGGCAAAAGCACAGGGAACACTGCATCAACTAGATGCGCACAGACAGCTGACCATTGGATTCATGTTCAGGGCCTCAGAGTGGTTACATTTCAGCCAGTTTTGCGGTTGCCAGCTGCAGCAATCTCGCTCAGAACTGGATCGATTTCAAAAATTATTGTACCCATTAGTCACTTCGACACAGAAACGTGAGGGAAAAAAGGGCCATGTTGAAAAATAGCAAATTCAAATTTCCCTTTAATTAGGAAGGGAAAAGCCGATATGGTACACATAAGATAAAGTGAAGATGGGATTTGATACCAAGCCAGAATCTGAGGTCGTAACCCAAACACAGGCCTCAGCGTTGAAGTTGGAGGATCTGTCTTGGTGCAGGCTGACCTCATCCCTCTGCCTGTCAACACTGGGCCCATGTACTGTGTGCAATGAGGGTTAAAGTGCAGACTTTACACTATTTTGTGTGAGCGTGTTTAAGTCTCAGGTGTGCTGTGTTGGCAGTTCAGTTCGAATATAAATAGAGTGTCCCGTCTGAACCATCAGCCCCTTCCCACCCCACCCCCCATCCATCCCGTCCCCCTCAAGTATTGACCCACGGCAGTTTGTCTCATTCCTGCCAATGCAAGCACATCTTCTTCTTCCTCAGCCAAACACACACAAATCCATAGAGAGCGTGGGTGTACGTGTGAACGCCAAAGAAATTCTAACTACATAGTTTATGTCAAAAGTACAGGCCCAAACCCAGACACACACACACACACACACACACACACACACACACACACACACACACACACATTTTTGTTGTTTGTGGGGACATTTTTCTGACATCTCCTATTTGTAATTCTCAACATTGACCTCTACTTTCCCTTATCTTAACTATGACTCTGACCTTGCTATAAATAAACATTTTGCTATTGAATTTCGGGAAAATATTCTTATACAGTTTGCAACACATTTTCATCAATACCTTTTCCGTTATTAAGAGTCAATATAACCTTGAGGTAATGCTTTGTATGGGAGACACAGTGGGAATTTGAATGTACTCAGACCTTGTTTGTGACACTGCTGGATGGTCCTCTGGATGAAGGCCTGGACTTCTTTGTAGGTCTGTAGGAAGCTGTCCTGGAATCGGCTGGCCTGCTCAGCACTCACCCCAAGGATCCCTGATAGACGCTCACGACCTGCAGAAGACAACATATTATGAAAGTGTGTTTAATAATGCAAGCTTACATCAGTGAGAGAAGTTACAAGGGATGCCAGGCAGATGTAAGATAAATGTGATTAGGTCATCATGATTCATATTGCACTCAATAGACTTTGAGTACCTTCCTCACACAACTAAGTGTTATAAGAGCTAGCTGAAAAGTGGGCAATATCCGCAGTATGTTAAAGGAACAGTGATAAATGTTGAGGAATACACTTATTGGCTTTCTTGTTGAGTGTTAGACTCCAGAAAGTTACTACACCTGGCATATAACCCCCCTATAACACTGCAATGTGCCGTTTTTACACTTCTGTGTTAAAACTGATTAACAAATGAGATATAACGTGCTAATTAGTGAGTTTAACAGGTTACCTTTGGACAGAACCAGGCTAGCTGTTTCCCCATTTCCAGTCTTTGTGCTAAGCTAAGCTAACCAGCTGCTGGCAGCAGCTTTATATTTACTGTATATATATGACAGTGGCATCAATCTTCTTATCTAACTGTCAACAGTAAAGGATTAAAGGAACAGTTACCCCAAAATCTAAATTACGTATTTTTTCCTTTTACCTGTAGTGCTATTTATCAGTGTAGATTGTTTTGGTGTTGCAGAGTGTTGGAGATATCAGCTGTAGAGATGTCTGCCTTCTCTCCAAAATAATGGAACTAGATGGCACTCAGCTTGTGGTGCTCAAAGTGCCAAAAAATACTGGTTACTCAAGATAATCCACAGACCTTGTTGTGAGCAGTTTCATGCAGGAACTATTTTCTTTCTACACCCACGAAACATGCAAAATGAAGCATGAAGCTCAGGCTGCCAGGAACACCACTCAGCCTTGCTTCCAGTTGTTCTCAATGGCCATCCACGTGTAAAACTGTTGACAGGACAACTCAAACTGCAAACAAGGTCAATTATGACTCTTTTTATTGTGATGTTTTTTATCCATGGAGGTTTTATATTTGTAAAACTTTCCTCAAGCAGAAGAAAGTGATTTAAAATCCATGACATCATCACAATGTAAAGTTTATGATCCAAGCAGGAACTCCCGAGCAAGGACAGTGGGAGAAACACTATTGCGCATAGTGATGCCCCCCAAGAGAAGTTTCTCTAAGGAGCCCAATAAATGAACTGAACTGAACTATTCAGTGGCCCACATACCGCACAAGTACACCCGAAAGCAAGAAACTTTTTGGCGTATGCTCCAGCCGAGCAGTTCCATTGAACTGAATAGGCGCCATCTTAGAGTCCGATATCAAGTTATTATTCTACATCTATGGTGCATCTACCGTACTACCAGCTCACCTAGCACCGATGAGCTAGCTAATGTTACAGCTCAGCCAAGGAGGACGCCATTAATGTTTACATCTTGCGCCGTCACAAGCACAAGCTTCTCGCCTATAACTTGATGCACGCTTCCTTCTGTGCATTAATACAGTCGGTAGGTGTAGTTTGGTAGAAAAAAAGTTCCTACATCTTAAGTAACCACATCATGATTTCTGTAAAGAGACACTGCTGTTGTGTTTTTCAAATTTTTTTTTTGGTGCTTTGAGCACCACAACCTGAGTGCCATCTAGTTCCATTATATTGGAGAGAAGACAGACATCTCTATGGGCGATATCTTCCACATTCGGCAGCTAACACCAAAACAATCTAGACTGATGAAAAGCACAACAGGTGAGAAGAAAATTTGTAGTTTTGATTTTGGGGTGAACTGTCCTTCAAACATATTTCTAAAAATGTCAGACTGTTCCTTTAATATGAATGCTCTGTAATGGTCTGCACTGTAGAAGGACCTGACTGCTCAGTGCTGACCTTGAGCTGACAAATGAGTAGCCAATGAATTTAAATGGAGTAAAACTACCTTTATCATGACTGACTGAAGAGTGTGGAAACAGATGAGAGAGGCCGGGGGGAGAAAGTTGAAACGGGGAGAGTGAACAGACGACAGACTGGACCAGAGGGTAAAAGAAATGACGAGGAAAAAAGTGGAGCCAAATGAAGGGTGAAAGATGGAAGAGGACAAGATAAAAGGAGGGTGGCCAAGGATCAGGGCAAGACTGCAAGAGGTGTGTGCATTTGTGTGTGCATTTGTGTGTGTGTGTGTGTGTGTGTAAAATGAAGATAAAGCTAAGAACACAAGGCCTTAGTGTGTGTGTGTGTACTGTATGCGCTTTCCCAGGAAGTGTTAAAGGTGTACAGCCTGTAGCAGGAGTAAAGGTGTGGGCTTTAAGGGGAGGAGGAGATCGATAGAGGAGTGTAGCGGCTGAGCTGATGGGTGCCACAGTTACTGTGTGTGTTTGTGGTTTGGAGCTCTGAGGGGGTGTGGTTGATGATGAGTTATGTCATGCCAAAGAGCTTAGAGCTGAAAGGAGAATCAGCAGCGGAGACAGCAGTTTCTGCAGTATCATAAACATACTGTGGAAAATTGATCGAGAAATCATGTATTAATAAAATATCTGACAAAAATGCCTGCTGATGGCAATGGAATTAATTCAGTGCTTTAAGAATCAATATAAATAAGTCAACTACATTTTTACTTGTTATATCAACCTAATACCAGTCAGAGTTAACGATAAGTTGACCTTACAGAAACAGAATCAGAGTAGATCATATTTTATGAGTACTGTTGCCACTTCAAAGAGCCATAACAACAACTGTAATTTTCTTTTGAAGTAGTCAAATGACCACAGCAAGCAGTTCAATGTATGGTCTACTCTTATTCTGTCTCTAAAGTTGATCTGTCATTCTTCATTCCAGTTTAGCTGTGCATAGCCTGTACGATTTGAGCCTGTCATTTTAGAGTTGGACAAACTTTCAGCCTTGTCATCTGCCGCGCAGTGAGCAGGGGGGATTGTGGATCGATCACAGTGTGATCTTGCCTGATGCCAGACAGAATTGTCAACTTGTTAGACCAAACTCTATTCATCCGATTGTCCCTAATTAATCTCTGGAGACGAATGGACCCACTTGAGTACCATCATCATCACCTGTTTTGCCGGGCTTTTAAGAGAGGAGTGGAGCGAAGTAAAAACAAACTACAATGTTGAGCAATATTGAGAAGACGTGTCAATTTAGAACAGCCTCGATAGCAGCGTCTATCTTGTCTGTAGGGTATGCAAGTGTTGTTATTACTCCTCACTGGTTCCAGCACACAGCTTGACAATGCTTGAAAACAGCCTGATAATGGCCTTAGTCCCACCCGTGGCACTGATTGGTTGTTTTTATTTAACCGAGAAACTGCTGTTTAATGTCACAATTCCTGACAAATCAGTCAACTCGAAGTCAGTGGAGTGGGTGGATTTACAGATCTGGACCCAGGCAAAGCTCAATAAGTTGCTTCCAACCAGCCGTCGAACGTTCACATGAATGACATGTCAGAAATTCTGGCCGACCGTCGTCAGGCTCTTGCACAGCTGAAGCACAGCCACAAGGTCAGTGCTTTCTTTCCTTACTCAATAAATCTTGCAGCTGATACCTTGCTAGTGTGTTGGTGCTGCTAACTTGTGTGTGTATGTGTGTACCTCTGCTAGCAAACAAACCTACACAGGTTACTTTCATTTATAGTCAACCATACCTGAACAATTCACATCACTGTACACATTCTAGCATTATAGGGTTACACAGGCAAATTGTATGATGATGTAGGCGTGGTTGAGGGCTGAGGACTCCTAAATCCTGGAGCCAACTCATTGGATCAAACCATGTGCTGCCATGTCATGGAGGGGATTTAGGTTTAGTTACTTTTACTTTGTATTTTGTTGCCGACCATTTGTTTACCTCAAGTGCATTACTTGGTTTGGCCAGGCCACTATATATGCTCCCTTATGTGTCATTTGGACAGGTCAGTTTGTTTAGTTAACACCTTGTTTGGTTATTATATTGAGTATAGTTATGTTATGTTGATAGGCCTAGTAGTTCATTTCTTGGTTTGAAATTTTTCATGCATTTTTGGGTAAAAACCCTCCCACGATTTTGGCAACAACTCCTGTGTCCTTGTTGTGTCACTGCTTGGTCCCTAACAACAGCAGTGACACAACAACTCCTGTGTCCTTGTTGTGTCACTGCTTGGTCCCTAACAATCTCCCTGCCCATAGCCCCGGGCCTTTAAAATGAATCTTTATTGACAATCGTCAATAGCTAGAACAGTCCGCAGGGACCCATGGACACTTTTACTGTCCGTTTTTCATACATGATATGAGCGCTCAGGTTGTGGATTCATGATCGGACTATACAGTGTGAGCACATAAATCGTGAGCTTTGGCATGAGATCACAGACGATTTACCTCTACACTCAGAGTTGGAATTAAACAAAAACATTTCTAAAACAGGCTCAAATTGTACAGTGTATGCCCAGCTTAAGTTGACTTATGGCCAACTTGACTTATGTCACATAGGCGGAGCGGAGCGGGGTCTCTTTCCTGCGACACAGACTCCATCTCTGGTTGCTGCCAGCTTCACTGTGTGTGTATTGAGTTTTCCCAAGTGATATTGCAGTTTGTTTGCAGCGGCTGGAAACGTATGAGCTATATTAACTGGTACTGAATTAAATAACACGATCATTTTAACAACAGCATACAGATTTGATTGATTTATTTTAATCTGAAATGTAAAAAACAAACACAGCATTGCTCTGCTGCTTACTGTTGCCTCTGGTACAATGAGGAATTCATTTTAATAGTTTTTAAACAGACTGTCGTAGTTTTTTATACAATTGCATGTAGTTTATACCTGTTGAAAGGCTGCCGAACTGCGCGTAGAGAAATATAAATACATCAGCTGTATAAGAATAACATTGAGCAGTGTAGTGCTCACATAGGCAAGTGAGGCTTTCATGGTCAGTGTAGCAGCTGCAGTTGATTATAATAGACATGCTGTGCTGCGGCAGATGTACAACACTGCGACCACTTCCCATGTATTTTGGCCGTCAAACAAGATTATCACCCACTATTTTAGAAATGAAACACTTTAAAATTGGGTTCAGTTTTTTGTACGGATGACAATGATATATGACATGAAAAATTTGAAAGTCGGCAACATGGGCTTCGTTTTTGGAAAGTCAGCCTTAGAGCAAAAGATGACGACATCTGAGTTCATTCAAGCTGGCATGTCTGTCTGTGCAGAGGGCACACAGACACTGAAACATGTTAGGCCCTTTCAGCTTGTTTGGCTGGTTATGTGTTTTTGAGTGTGCTGAGCCAGAAGCCGCTGAGCTTGATATGCATGTACTGTATGCAACAGGGACGGAGAATGAGACAAGTTACCATGAAGATGTTGAGTGCACGCTACAGACGTGCTCCTGTGTGAGTGAAGCCCCGCATTCCTGCTCAATGAAGTCAGTTCAAGGAGTGACCTTTAACCTTTGCTACTGAAGCTCCAGCGCCTCTCGGCTCATACCCCCATCTATCTTTCTTGCCCTCTTTCATCTCTCCTTCAACTACTACAACCCTCCTATCAGTCCTGCCCTCTTTACTTCTCATTTTCATTCAGTTTTTTCACCCTAATGAAAAGTAAACTATTGTAAAAAGACTGCTGATATGCTAGTTTAAGCATTTTTTGAAAGTCCTCAGAAAAAAAAATGCTATGTGTTGTTTCTATGTCATCCTTTTTATTTTTCCCACAGCACATTACACTTCTGTCTCACCTTCATCCTACCTTTTTTCCTCCAACATCATCACTTGCCCTTCTTATTTGTTGACCTATTTCTAAGTGTGTGTGTGTGTGTGTGTGTGTGTGTGTGTGTGTGTGTGTGTGTGCACGAGTCCATAGCCCCGCTCTGCCCCTCCTCCCTGGCCTGATTATTGTCTTGCAGAGAAAGCTTCCTTTTAGTATTTGGTATCCATGGCAACGCATCCTTCCATGAAGAGCTGTCTGTCTATGCTGATCAGGAGCTCCTTGCATTCCTCTCCTCATTTTCTCTCCCTCAGCCGTCCCACCCGCTCTTCACTCTTCCCCTTTCCCCTACATTATGCTCTGCTCCACCACCACCACCACCGCCAACACCACCTCCCCCCACTCCCCACCTTTTCTTGCCTTTAGCCTACATTTCCTCCGCTCAGCATCTCACTCTGTCGCGCTCTTTTACATCTCCTTACGCACTCCATATTTTCGCTGCCTTTTTAGCACTGACCTTTTACTTTATGAATCGTCCCTGCATGCATCCGATGCCCCCCTACATGTCTCAAATGAATAGCTTTTACACATTCGTGTCATCGGCTGTTGAGGTTTATCGAGTTTCCTTGAACTGACTCATTCATCAGTGTGTGTGTGTGAGTTACTGTGTTTGTGTTCTGATGTTTGTTTTCTCCCGCTGAGCTGTGACTCCTGCTACAGTAGAAATACCACAGAACACACTATCAGCTTGGGAGCATCAGGTTTTGTTGAGCTTTTGAATGCGCTGTACGCATACTGAGTCCAAAGTGACAGATAACTGCTGGCCCAGTTCCGCTCATAAAAACCATGCGCTGCAGGGTCAGTGCTGATTGGTTAATCAGATCAAACATGTTTTCTAGTTTTCTCATGATGTTCACTCCAGGGAGAACAGTCAATGTACTGTTTTGATAATATACCGTGTCTGGGTCAGAGTAAGCATGAAACCAACAAATGCAGCGCAGCAGAATGTTCTCCTGTTAACATAAAGTAAACCAATGTACACTAAGTGATATCTTATTAAAGTACAACATGCAAGGTTAAATTTATTTCACGGCCAAATATTTATCCCAAAAGTGAGGCTGAGTTTTAAATATTGACTGGTGTCAGCAGACTATAAAGAGGTCAGAACGGAGTGCTTTTTACTTAGCTGTATCAACAAATAAATACATAAATACATGAATAAAAAAAAACAATCAGAAATAAATGAATAAAAGAATAAATAAATGCTGATATAAATAACTGAATATAGACAATTAAATGTAGAAGTTGGAGACACAGAAATACCAAAATAAATAAATGCATATGTAAAAAAACATGTAGGACTAAATTTAAGAGAGAAGATTTATTTATGTAATGTATGTATTTATCAACTCGTATTTATTTATCTATTCATGCATTTATCTATTTATTTCCATATTTAATTCAATAATATCAAATACAGCTAAATACATACGCTATCATAGATGCCTTCATTATAAAAATGAACCAGTTACATCTTTTTTGCTTAAATTACACTTAAGTATCCACAGTTTCTCAAAGCATGATCAAACATTAAATGAGCTTTATCATTTTTAATTCTGTCTGTTTTGTTTTTTCAGAATTTTCACAAAAAATATCTGGATTTTTAAAAAGAAGCAGATCAATTAGGTCCCAATGCACCTGAAAGTTGTTCTTTCCTGTTGCAAGAAAATGCTGAGCATTATAGTTTGATATAGGAAAAAAATAAGCCCTTTATGTTCCGCAGAGGCCGCTCAGATGCTTCTGTGAAATCAATAATGTAGGATGAGCTGTGTTTTGAATAGGTGCTGTAATCTGGTATAATAGCAGTTTTGACATCAGGCTCTAAAGCTGTCATTTAACCACACAAAGGTTAACTGAAACTAGTAATGAAAAACATTTTAGTTACCTGAAATAAAAAATAAAAATAGACATTAGGGAAAAAAACAACAACTAACAAGCGATATTTTGTACTCACATTACATTACAAGCATTAAGAAGCAATGGTCCATATGTGTTGTTTGTATTGCAATACCTATTCTGATCTTCTTGCCTCTAACAAATACTCCCCATATTATAATTGGAACAAAAAAATCTAAAACTGATACCAAAACTAATAAAAACTAAACTATAACAACAGATTTTTAAACAATAAAGACAAAACTGAAACAAGCAAACCCACTTCAGAAACTAACCAAAACTAAATTAAAAACTAATGAACAAATAAACTCCCTCAACTCACAATTGTTAGACAAGAATGTAAATCCTCTGCCAATGATTACGTCTCTAGCTGGCCCAGATATCTACCACATGTCCACCAGCTCGTATCACTCTGGTCATGTGTGTGTGTTAGTGTGTGTGTTCATAAGAGCATACACGTGTGTGAAGCATAAATGGGTCACAAGAGCCACAGACAAGTCTCTTTATGGGCCACATGGGTCTATTATACATTCATCTTCCTTTTTCTATTTTTATCTTCTCCTGCCCCTCCACCATCGCATCCACCGCCATCCCAGTTCACCCAGTGGAATCAGGACTGTGGTCCACAGCATGAAAGAAATTAGCATTTTTGTGTAAACATCATAGATGGTATAAAATAATGGATGAAGCCACCGTGACATCACCCATTGGTTTTGAAGCCTCAATCTCAGCATTTTGGCCTTCACTATTGTAAATCAATTACTACCACCCACTGCTCTGTAAGGCCCAATCCCACAGAAAGCACTGAAGCAGCTGGATGTTGCTTTTTGTTTTCCAATGAGAATGGAGCTTTTTGCTACTGAAAAAATTTCAACTCAGAATGAAAAAGCACCCCACGTCATCTCCGCCTTTTCCCCATCGTCCAGTCTGATGATTTGAGAGGCAGGCCTGCTGTGGTGGTCATGACAATGAGTTTACAGCTGGCACACAATGGAGGAGAAACTGGTGGTGGTGGTTGCTGGATACCCAGAGCTTTACGACTTTACAAACTGCAGTTACCACGATCTCAACAGAAAACAGCAGGCGTGGAGGCATGTAAGTGCAGAACTTGAAGGTTCGGATAAGACGTTTTCATACGTAGACTGTATTAAAAATTAACATGAACGGTTGGGTTGCATGCAGTAGTTAGCCATGTGCTAAGCTAACGTTAGTTCACTTTCAACGTATCCCTCGGCAAGCTGTAATACAGAACTGTGTAGCTGTTAGCTAGCATCTTTTTTTTACCTTGTTTTGTTACAGGAGGAGTGCGAGACAAGAATCTGAGAGAAAGGAGGGCAGAAAAAGACAAAAGGAATGGGGCAGAAGGAGGCAGCCAGACAAGGTAGACGTTTATGGCTAATATGTCAGAGTGTGTTTGTACTCACCTGCGCCGTACACAACAGAGTAGACGATGCGTTTGGCATGTTCCCGATCCTCAAAAGTCACCTCACCCGCACTCACTCCCTTCCTGAGGGATAAAGATAAACACATTTTTTAGGGGTGAACAACATGGTGTCCAGATCAAGACTTGTTCAGTCTACAGGTTTCAAACGTTTTCAAGATAATTTCTGACTAAATTTAAGACTGTTTTTGGATAGATCATCCTTTTCTTGTTCAGGCATTGCACGTAAGTATAAAGGTAAGTAGTGTACACCGATGTAGGGAGGAAAAGGACGGTAGAGAAATCCAGAGAAGAACAAATAAAAAGAGAGAAACAATGTGAGATGTGGAGGTTAAAAGGACACAGAGTACAAGGAGACAGAGGAACTACAGAGACAGGGAAGAGATAGAGAGGGAAAGGCAGGGATGGACAGACAGACAGTTATGTAATGTGACTTGTAGACAGTCATAGTACTCAGGATCAGACAGGGTAGGATAACACGTCTGGAAAGTGGCATTTCTGGAGGGGCTGACTGGGAGCTGCCACCGCTGATCAGTGTTGAGAGAGTGCTACACACACACAAACACACACACACACACACACACACACAGAAAAATACAAATGGGAGCTTCAAAGCTCCAGTGTTTGATGATGTCAGATGCCTTGATGACTGCAAGCCCCAGGATAACGACTCTTAAATTTGAGGTAATTACACTTACCATGAGTGTTTGAGTGAGTGAGTTTTGTGTTAAATGACAAGTTGAGGTAAGTAATGCATAACCAATAACCTCCGGTGGGTGAACTCACGTTGAACATTTTCCTCCACTGTGCATCTCCTTGATAGATCTCCATACTGGATTTCCACTGCCCCCTGCTGGAAAGGCATTTATCTACTGGAAAACCCTGCTATTTTATTACAACAGATACACACCACCGATCAAAAGTTTGGAATCTCCTGCCACAAAAGCTATATTCGGCATAGTCATCAGTCATATGTCTGAGAGGACTACACTATACTTTTAAATGGTCTTTGATGCGTTTAGTTTGTAGAATGTCTTTATTACAGGGAGATGTTATTTTGTATGAAGGGTTTGTTTAGAATATGAAGAACAAAATGCTGTGCAAATGGTTTAACAAGTCTGATAACTGAAAAGTTATAATGAGACCATGATCCCTCTGAGCAACAGTTCAATAAAGATATAAATAAATCAGCAGTCATTGATAAAAGAAACTGGAAACTTAGCATCAAAATGTGTTCAGATTAAATAGGAGCAGTTTCCTGTTTCAGTGTCAGGAGCACAATAATGCCTATAACTAGCTGGAATGAAAGGTACACTATGCAGGAATTATCGGTCACCTGGTCAATTCCTTGTTTTAAAGCGGGATTGATACTTGTGTGTCTAATCGACACTGTAACCTATGCCATAGCCTGATGTGCACCTCCCCAGAAATGTAACTACACGTCACAGCAACGCAGACCTCCTGTCTATTTTTGTAAGCTGAAAACATTTCCCACTAAGGGAAATGGTCTCAGGGAAAAAAAGCTATTATTTACTTTAATTTCACAGATAAGAAACAACTCCACAAAAATAGCATTACAAGTCTTGTGTGTAATTTATCCTGGCTTCATATGAGCAGAGGAAATCTCCGCTAGCTGCTAGGCTAACTTATACAATGTAAAATGCAATAGGCTTGTGCCAATAACGTTAGCATGTTGTATTTGTGGGGAAAATGTGTCCAGATAAAAAGTGTTTGTCTGTGAATGCTGCGAGTTATAGTGAAGCTGATTTGTGTCCTTGTGTTTGAGACTGTCTCTATTAAGCCATGTTTAATATGTGTTTAATGTGTGTTTTGAATCAACTAAACTTTACAGTACTTCACAAACACCCTGCTGCTGACTACTGTTTTGGAGGTGTAACTGCAGAGTGACGCAGACACACCTCCGCAGAAGTATAAATGCTCACAGCGGTGTAGGCCACATGCGTAGGGTCAGCATAAAGCTGACACACAAGTATAAATCTCGCTTAAGTCCTGACCTCACCCAGGCGCTTTGCCCAGGAACGTCCTGAACACAGCAAAATAAGAAGGAAATAAGAAAATACAGGCAGAGGGCAGAGTCTCTGCAGAAAATACACCACCACACACCTCAAGTGATGACTGAGAGGGATTACTTTTATGAGTCTATTCATGTTTTTTCAGGAAACTCCTACATGTATATCTTTACGAAAGTGATGCTTTAGCAAAGCTATACTTAAACCTCACAGTAGAAAGAGAAGGTTCATCCAGGGTTCACACTATTGGAATTGAATGAGAGAATATCAGTGAAACCTACTATGGCCTGGCAAATCACAGTTTAAACCTATTCAATCTGACCACTGAATGAACTGCAGAGAAATCAAAGAAAAAAACAACAGTTCCCAAAATATTTAGAGCCCAGTTGCACCGTTATGGTTCAGTAATGATCAAGTGAAAACACTAATGCGTCCTGATGTATACCAGACAAGGTCCTCATCATCAGTGCAGGATGTGGTGGTTGTTTTGGTGACAATGCACTAATGCTATATAACTTTCCCATTTAATATCAAGTTGGACAAAATGTTGTGTGACCATCTATCGTTTTGCCCTATGGAAGGAGACGTGTTGAATTCTGCTGACAGCGGTATCCCCAGCTGTACTGACAAAACCACTAACCTGACTAGCAAGCATACTGCAGAGCAGCTAGCAAAAGTGTAGACGTCAAAAAATGGGCACGGGGCAGGAACAAAATCTGAACACAAGCGGTCAGCTGGAGACACATAATAGACATGAGCGTGATGTGAACAAGGGTTTCAGTTGTCCACTTGTGATTTAATCACTCAAAATGCATACCAGGTACAAACAGGGCCTTAGGCTTGTTGCTTTACTACAAATTGAAGGACAAGGAAGATGAAAAAAAAATGTAAAAGAGAGACTTTTGAAAATTTAAATATAGTATTCAAAGTAATGAGACATCAGTTTTGTAGTAAGCAGAAAGCCTCTGGCTAACCCACCACGAATAAGAATCCTTTTTACATTTCTCACTCTCTGATTTACACATAGAAGTGGTTCAACCAGAGTAACAGACAAATCAGTGACACCCTTGGGAGAGGAATGGGACAAGGAGAGGTGAGGAAAGAGGGAGAAAAGGAAAAGAAACAGTGAAATTAACATGTAAAAGAGTGATAGAAAAGGAAGAGGAAATGGGAATAAGAAGGGAGAAACATCTGTCAGAGGAAGGACAGAGAGGGCAAGGGAAAGGCCAAAAGGATTTGTACAAAAAGGCAGAGAGGAGGAAAGGAAGGAAAGAAATAGAAGACTACAAAAGAAAGAAACAGAAGGTTCAAAAGATGAGAGTAAGGCAGAGTAATCCCAGCAAAGCGGCAGTGACACCAGTTAATTTGTTTAAAGGTGAAAGAGAGATAATGAAAGAGGCACAATGTAAAGGCTCAGAAGAGCTGTTAATATGGTCTATGTGACCAGGTAATGTGTTTAACCGGCCGCCCTCTGCCGCACACTTGACTGAGATGGATGACAGGAGTGAAGGTGCAACACTGGATATCTCACACACGCAATAGACCTGTGTGTAAACACCGAAACACACACACACACACACACACACACACACACACACACACACACTGGCAGCAAGAGGGGAGGAGAATAACACGCACACACTCACAAAAATACTTCAAAAGCGCGACAATGTAATCACCAGGGCGACCAGCCCAGGGGTGTCCTGCCTGTGGAAAAGAGAGAGCGAATGAGGCAGTTGGCATGGTAGTCATGGCAACAAGGTTATTAGCATTTGAAGTGAAGGAGCCGGTAGTCGGGGGGAGGAGAAAGAGAGAGAGACACACAGAGAGACTGGGAAAGAAAAACCCTGTGGAGCATCAACACTCACCTTGGCAGGGAGATCAGGGGAGGACCAGGGTGTGTGTGTGTTTGTGTGGTGTGTGTGTTTGGGAGTGAGAGACCTACCACTGAGAGGCCAACATGGTAAAGACGTCCGCCTGCGGGTTGATGAAAATGCGGAGCAGCTCAGGGTCAGAGGAGAGGTGAGCCAGCAGACGCAGCTCCACCTGGCAGAAGTCTGACAAACACACACACCCACAAACACACACCTTCTTAATACATTATTCCAATGTCACATCCAAAGTCTTCCATTTACAACACTGAGTTTTTTTTTGGGAAAATGCTTATTTGCTCTCACGCTGTGAATTAGATGAAAGATTGATAAAACTTTCATGTCTGTTAGGTAAATCTGTAGCTAAAGTCAGCAGCTGGTTAGGTTAGCTTAGTTTAGCTTAGCTTAGAGCAAAGACTGGAAACAGGTTACCATGCTCTGTCCGAAAGTGACAAAATCCACCTACCAGGGCCTCTTCAAGAAGTTACTGTGCCCAGGAAATAGAGCAACACATATTCATTGTAACATGTTCAGTGAGCTTTAGAGGTGTTGGCAGGCAGATACTGTTACCTTCAGACAGAGCCAAGCTAGCTGTTTCCCCGTTTCCAGTCTTTGTGCTAAGCTAAGCTAACTGGCTGCTGGCACTAGCTTCATATTTACCGTACAGACATGAGAGTGGTTGTGATATTCTCATCTAACTCTCTGCGACAAAGTGCAACAGAGTACTTGCCAAAATGTCCAACTAGTTTTTGAACATTATGATAAATATATATGTAAGAACGGAGATATACAACAACGAAATTGTCTCATTTGAAGTACAGTGGAAACCTCCTAAAGTGATCACGTCTGTCTGCTTTAAATTGATCATAATAAGTGGATGATTATTACATACTTTTCTTTCTTTTTCTCTGTTTCTCGTGTACATTACTGTCCATTTGACATTAATATATTATTACATGAATATAAAGTAATTAAATGGACAGCTTCACTATTCAAAGAATGTTAGTGACTGTTTCAAAATACAGTGCAGTACAGTTATTATGTGACCAGGCATCATCAATCCACTTAATGAGGGCGGTTTCAACCACAGGTGCTTTCTTACAGTGTCTGCAGTGTAGAAAAAAATGTCCAAGTGAAATGTTAAGGGGAGATTTAGGGTTCAAGAAGTACATAGAACTCTTAAAGACTCCTCAAGTGTTTGTGTTAACACTATAATTAATCATTTGGTGCTTGTTGTTTGTACTGAAGTGATACAACTGCAATTTAGTTGTACTCGCTGTTATCTTCACTTAATTCAGCTACTTCTACCATTTACAAAAATATCTTTGAAATACAGGAGTTGCAATTTATACATGAAGGTGGAGAGGGCAACAGCAAATAGTGCCAGTCAGAGCTTCCACTACAGTAAGAAAGGTTACTGTGTGTGGAGAAATTGGTGTCTCTGCCCCCAACAGTTTCTCTTTGTATCACTGTTGATGGCAGTCCAAAATGGTGGGTCTAGGAAAAAAGACTTTTTTGCAGCATGATGCTCACATCTAATGTTTTAGATAGCTCAACACTTTTGTGCTATTGAACTCCATTTTACCTGAGCTGGACAATGTCCACACACATACAGCCGCTACTGATACACACAAAGAAACAGTTGTATACACATCGTTGTTGTTTTTTCCCCACTACTTATCTAACCCTCCCACTTCACTTGCATTTATTAGAAAAGGAATAATGAATTAGAGACTTTGCATCATTGTAAGCACTAACACGACTGCTATCTCCAGGGTTATAAAATGTGAATATGTGCAGGCGTCAAAAAGCTCACAATAGAAGCTGACCCTGTTTCTTTAACATAACAATGTAGTGACGCATGTTGCAATTATGTTACTGCATCTTTCCCACCTTATTCTACATATATCTTGTAGCAGGATCTTCTGTGGTATGACACTCTTTTCATCCTGATGATGAAATTGGCATGATTTGCTGCCGCTATAACACAAATCTACGTAAAGCTGGGTTATTACAGGAGAGAGACGTCACTTCCACGATTTTTCAAATATGACATTATTCAGAATTTGATACAGGTCATGTAAACAGAATTTCCCTTTGGATATTCAAAATAGGCCTTATTGCGAATGTAGCATTTTTGAGCATATTTGGAAAATGCATATTAAATGGGCACTTAACTGCAATTTGCGGCACATGGCCTCTCCCCTGTTTACGGTTGGCTCGGTGCATTGCTATAGATATGTTGTTCACAAACCAACTAGCTTACAGTTTGTAAGGCTGTGGTAGAGATGCATCTCCTGAAGAAAAGCCCACATTTCTGGTCAGAAGGAGAAACACACTGTCTTCTAAACTTTATGAAAGACTTAGATATCAACAGGTTTTTGGATATTAAATAATGCAATGTTGGGAAGGTGGTTGAAGGAACCAAAAAAACAAAAAAGAGGCTGTGTTCGCATGGTTGAACAAGTCTGCCAGGACAGCAGAAATCTAGAATTATCATTACTTTTTTGTGTAAAGCATTGGGGTGTTTTACATTTATCGAACTATGTACTACTGCATGTAAACCAAGAGGCAACCTCCAGAGCTGAAAAATGAAGTCAATGCGTAAGTGTTGAAAACTGCAGTTACTTAAATGGCCACTTGAGGTTGGCTCGTCCATCCCCAAAGACACCCATGTTAAAAAGCCCACCATGTTTACGTTTCTCTGTACGCATGTAAACACCATACCTTGAATTTGATCATAAACAGGATAGGCCTCATAAACATGTTATTCATGCTTAATAAACACACTACAAGTCAGATCCACCCTTGTTCCTCTGCAGCTCCAACCTTCTCGTCCAAATATGGTCACTTATGGTTTCAGAAAATCCAAGATGGCGACAGCCAAAATGCCAAGCTCAAAGATTCGATAAGGGAGTTCACAATCCAATGGGTGACATCACAGCGGCTACATCCACTATTTTTACACAGTCTATAATGTAAATGAGAATATTAGTGGGGTATTTACTTCATTAGCCACGTAAACAGCTTAGTAGAAATATTGTCTTTTCTGGAATCTGGGTAAACAGTATCAGAAAATTATAGAATATTTTGCGCATGTAAACGTAGTGCTGTTTAAACTCTTGCACTGCTCTTCACACTGTACTTATGATTGTGTCTGAGTACTGTAACTATTAAGGCATAGCTAGCAATTACAGATAAAGGGTGGATTTGTCATGTACAACACTTTCTGGGAAATAGATTTTCTGCACACAGTAGTATGTTAGTTCCAAAATCTTTCTTTGTCTATAATGTAATGGACTAGGGTTTTCACACCAGGGTTTAAACAAAATTGAAAATCTGAATTTAAACTACAAGGGTTCAATTCTTTTCAATAAATCAAACCACCATCCATTATAGAGCATACGCAAAAACTGGAGGAGCACTCAGAGTGTGCAGACCTGTCCCAAGGCCAAATGCGCTATCTCACATCGCAAACAAAAGTGAAAAATAATTCATGTATCCACTCCATTTGTGTATTCAAAGGTGTCATATCATGTAAAAAAGATCAAATATTCAATTTCTGGTTGATAACCATCAAGCTTACTCATTTTTGTCAAACGTTTTCTAAACCAAAATGGACGCATCTTTTGTGAAAGAGTTAAAACATTCAAGTTCAATTTGGAGAAAGGACATGAACTGCAGGACTGACATGGTTTCAGGACAGCAGAGTTGCAGGACAGACAGAAAAACACCATGAATAAAAAGACCTCTGAGACCAAATCGTGTCAGAAATCTGCCCTGGGCAGTTACATAAGCAGAGAGAGATAACCGGAGGCTATAAACGAGACACACTGACAGACACACAGCAAAACATCTTTAAAATAGGCAGAGAGAAACTCTGTCTCATCTAAGTGCACACTATAATACACCTTTGTTTAAACATGCACTCAAACAGACAACTGTGTAAACAGAAATATGGACAGACACGTATAGAGAGACAACACTAGCACACCTCTTGGTGGCAGGTGACATGTCCTGTACTGACAGGTCTACAGCTCTCTTGTCAGCTTGGCAGATCTAAACTGAAACATCTCTCAAGACGTAGTCACACATAGACGCAGACACACACACACACACACACACACACACACACAGACACACACTTATATCCACACCCACAAAGCAACTGCAGTACATTCCATTACAGCCATTTCACCCAGACACATCTCTTCCTCTGCTCGGCTGCTTCCAAATCAAATTAAACCCGACCAAATGCAGGGGAAAACGACTCAAAATGGACGGGGGTAAAAAAGAGAAATTTTCTCTCAGTGAGGATGAAGCAACCAGCTGTAATAGGTTTCTACTAATGTGGGAGGAGAGAATGATGAAGGATAGGTGCAGTTACTGGTACATTTATCATAATTGAGGAAAATCTGACAGATTGATAAATATTTCAGGTCATTTCATTCAGCACTACTGGAAAGAGGAATTCCTCGGAAGTTCAGGTCACAATCACACCATCTACCGTTTAACCCAGGGTCGGCCATAGGTTGCAGAGGAGAAAGATAAAAGGGACAGGGAGAGGGAGACGGAGAGACTCTAGTGGGATGGATAAAGAAAAGAAAGCAGGGTGGAGGGGTGATGGTGAGGTGAGCAATGGTTTTGGTTGTGATGAGGTGAGGAAGGGAGTTTCTAAAGATATCCTCCCATCAATGTTTTATGAGTCAGATCACATTTCCTCCAAGCATGGCCGGCAGCTTCGGAAACATATTGCTGACCAGGATTTGTGTGTGTATGTGCGTGTGTGTGAGACAGAGAGAGGGAAAGAGAGTGTGTAAGAGAGTTTTCTGCGTGACAAAAATAGAAAGGAAAAGAGGAAGAAGGAAAATATGTGTATGAAATAGAGAGTAATAACACGTAAGAAAGAGCGATCGTGAGTTACGTGTATGTGCATGTCCTCCAAGGCCACCATCTAACACAGCTAGTCTCTGTGATAAAAAATAAACACCACAATTATTGATCCGTACAGGAATAACTGACCTCCAGTAACTTCCGCCACAGATTAACCCTTAACACTGGATCAGTTCAGTGCCATTTATGCCCCCTAAACTGAAACTATACTGTGTTTGTGGGGGGTGGGCGGATGCTAATTGGTAACGTAGAGTCCGCCCACCCCCCACAAACACAGTAACAGGGCTAACTGT